TCCCCATTGGTTTACATGTAAAAAGTTACTTTGTGCGAGCGCGGATACCAAACAGTGCAGTGTGTGTGTGATTCCCAAATGATCGTAACATTCAGTCATCTTTCCAGGGAAGATTAACAGACAGTGTCTCAGATTTTCTGTGATGTTTTAACCAATCTTTACTCAAGAAAAGGATTAGGAAAGAATTCTTGATAGATTTGTTTGTGAATTCGGTATATAAAAGATATATTGACTGCTTTAATATTCGAAGCCTAGCTGTTTATATACTGGCTCTCAAGGCTCGGCGCGCCGCCCACCGCCGCGCGCCTCGGGGTCATGGCATGATGCAACGTCCCCTGAGCCTATAGAAACAGCTAGGCCTCTCATAGCAGTCAATACATCTATACTATTATTTGAGTAATGCCCCCAAAGGAGTAGGCGCTTATGAGAAAACAGAAAAATAATTATATTTTGTACACGACAAACGGGAGAGTTGTTCATGACTGCGTCATAATTGCCAATTCGAGTTTTGCATAGATTTAGAGATCTCGTATTTCAAGATAACTATCTTATTTATTGGTCCGATCTATTTCAAACTTTCGCAATTCTGTTTCTCTTATTTCTTTGCTTTCGTACAAATGAAGTTATAAAAGGGGCTCAATTTTCTCTTAAAGGTGGTGTGTCCCTTTTGCAGGCTGAAAATATAAACCTGTGTAAATCCTATGGTAAGAGGGAGATAATACCAACTTAAAACTTCTCTAAAAATATTAGAACTGGTAATTGTCTCTATACGTATTTATATCGACCGTTAGGACATTTTCAAAACGCGCTCCTAAAATTATGGTAGAAAATAGTCTGATTTTTAGACCCCTGTACCGTGTGGTCGTACATTTTGTGCTGCGCAAAGATTCAAGCAGCTTAATTTTAACCATTACAAGAAGCGGATTATTGATGTGAACAAAAGCTCATATCCTTTTACAGCGTTTTTTATGTATGCCATTACCAAAGAAAATAAAAGTCAGTCACTCACTCAATAGTGTTTGACAGTGAATTCTAGAAAGTAAATGGGTTTACTTGCATAATTTGATTACTAGGACACTGCTAACGTTTAAATTTCACAGATAGGACATACGTGACATATTCATAATTCAGGCAAAATTCTATAGAATTTGATGTTGGCTGCAAAAGGGATACACTACCTTTAAAACCTTACCTGTTTGACACGTTTTACCCATCCAACTTCCGGGGCACATGCAGTAGAAGAAATCACCCATATCATCATAGCATGTCCCTCCGTGCATGCATGGGTCCGAGTCGCATTCATGAATCTCTGAAGTTATATCAAGAAAATATAAATTATATGGTTATTTGAGTTATTTATAGACAGACCGATGGAAACTTTGCGCATTTCTGATTGTGGCGGAGACAAATTTAAAAAGAAATATTTCTAAAAAATTATTCCTCAATATACCCATTGACGATGCAAAAAAAGTGTATTTTAAGATCACGGACAGAAAACTTGGGGTGTCCCCGAAGGTTTTTTTTTCTTCAGATGGATCTTTTGCTCTCAATTGAAGAAGAAAAAAACGGAAAAATGGAAAAGAATAAAATATCTTACTGCTACAAAGGCAAGCACTATATAAGCTCTGTAATTCTCTCGAAATCAAAGTTTTAGTATTCATAAAAAAGGAAAATCTTCTATCGGGGGAGCTACACTCCCTCTTTCATAAGTATTCGACAATAGTTAAGAAGCTTTGTCTGTCAAAAACCCCCTCTTTCATAAGTATTCGACAATAGTTAAGAAGCTTTGTCTGTCAAAAACTACAAAAATCAAACTTCAACTTTCAAGAATCAACCTAATGCAATATCAGTAGCCTAGTGTGTCATCTTTTGTAATGTTTGAACATGGCAATGACATATTATTAGGTAATCCGAACATGATATCTATCGGCAGTAGGCTACAACAGGGTACTGAAATTGAGTTTATCTCTGAAAGTCTTTGCGATCATATTCTTTGCTAAATCCAGTTATTTATTTATTTACTTATTATTTATATGTTCATCTATTTATTATATGTTCTTTATACAGGGTAGTATCTTCAGTGCATCAAAATTGCTTTGCAAGAGAGTCCTGTATTTTGTAGTACAACTAGACTAAGAAAACATTGTAAAACAAAAATGAAAAAATGTAAAATGTTACAACGCATAACAAAACAAAACAAGAGCAAAATATAGACTAACAATGGAAGCAAGTATTGCAATTTTTATCACGATACACAATTTAGATAAATTATAGTTTTATTAATAAAGATGAAATACCACAAAGGGTCAGCTCAATTCGTGATCAGTTTGCATTTCCTTCATCATTAGTATTTCAGCATACCCTGTATGGCCATAAATGACTATAAGTCGTACCCCCTCCCTCACTATCCCTTCCTCTTAGTAGTTAAGAAAATATATAAACGGCTTGGGCAAGAAATTGTACGGGTTATATTAAAGCTAAAAGTTAAATGTTACAAGTTAAACATTAAAAGCTTAAAGTTAAAAGTTAAAAGTTAAAGCTTATGCATTTGCATTGTTCCTTAAAAGACGTGCGATGAGATTTTCCTATGACAGCGTTTATATGCCCTAGGAATGCACAATTGCGAAATTGCTAAATGCAGAAATCTTCTTTTCCTAAGAGTAAATTCAATTTTAGACTCCCAAATCGGTCCCAAGCTATCCCACTTGAACTTAAACATTCTTCAAGTTTTTGTTTATATTCTACCCTCACTGCGATGACAGTATTGTACTATTCCTATGCTGTATAGACTTCACTGACGGTCGAGTGGTTTAAGCATTTGACTTTAGACGCAAAGGTCATGGGTTCGGCTCAGAAGTACTAGTTAAGCACAGAGACGGCTCTAACACCAAAATGGTGTTCCCTCTTTTTTTCAATGCGGATTCCTCAGTAAAAAGTAATGCTAAAAACGCTGCCATCGACTGATATTTTTAAAAATCGGTGCCCAAAGTGCCAACATTTCATATTTTAGGAGCCACCAATGTCTTTATGCATTTCAGAATGCCAAATGGACCTTAGGCATTGTGATGAAAGGTATAGGTGTCCGCGGTGTATAATTTATTATCAACGACTATCAACGGTTTCAACGCATCATAAAGCATATGTTTTAATATTGACTCAGTAATATATACGATTTTCACGCATTTCATATTGGAGCCCGATGAATATTTTCAGGATTCTTGGGTCCCTTCAGGTAACCTTTAGTAACTATGTAGAAATAAAATATTCAATCGAACTATAATTAGATGCTCTTTAATCACTTATGTTACAATAGAACCCTTAAATTAAGATTTTGGGTACCTGAAAATGTTGGCTATTTGTATTGTTTGTTTGTTTGATTGATTTTATTTCTGCGTTCAAAAATATACAAATTCAAAGTCAAAGTACAAAATTTCGAACAATAACAAATACAATGAATAAAATGTTTAGAAAAGTAATTAAATGAAAAATCATGTACAATTATATCATTCGATAAACATGTACGAAGCATATAATAAGATAAAAAATATTTTCAATATTGTATTGTATTTGTATTGTATTTATTAATTCAACCATAAAATAACATCAAATGGAAACAATACAATTATATTAATTTGAAACAGTAAATAAAATGCTTGGAATTTGGTGTCCCAAAACAAGAAAAAGTGAAAACAGTTAAAGATTGAAAATTAACAACAATACTATATGAAGAGCTTATAATTCCAAAAGGCGCTATATCCATTTTTTTTACCAAAATGGAGTTATTAGTATGAGTACATACCAGTTGCACATGCGCATTTAAATCACCATTCCTTTTCTCAAAATAATTTTCAGAAATATGAAATAAATTGACACAAACATTTTATTTAGTTCCAAAAGGCGCTAAATCCAAAAGTGTTTAATTCCAAAAGGCGCTATATCCACCTTGTGTGTTTTGATCAATCAGAGCGCAGTATTGTTCCAGTGACCCTGGGGGCCGTTTCTCGAAACCAACTCCATGACAGTCATATCTTTGTCGCCGACCTACGGAGATGTCATGAAGTGGATAAACCGTTTCACGAAGCCATGACAGACATGATATCGATATATCGAGATACTAGCAGCTCAAGAACATAGTCTTTGTCACGATCCATTTGATTTATCAAGAATAACCCAAAACAAATTTTGGAGCTAAAATTATTCAAAAAGAAATATATACATATAAATTCTCCTTAAATAAATAATAAATAGTGTCATTATCAAATGTAGATCATCAAACGATTTGCATATTTCTGTAAAGATTCTTAAATTGAAGAAAAACCGGTGAGTGTTTTTTTTTCGACAGTCGAATCAAAAGTTAGTTGAAGGATACTGTAATGTGATAGTTTATCAATACGTACTTTTTTGTTTATTGTGACGAGGAATTTTAGGCAAAATACCTTTTCTCAGCCAGTTTTTATTCTAGAGTCTCATAAATACTCGTTATATAATTGATTTGATATTGAAAATATAATTTGGAAGAAGTAATTAGAGAGGGAATAATAATGCACATAGGCCCCAAAGGTTTGCGGTATCCTAACTAAAGACTATGGATCGACTATGGAAAACGGTGTGTAACATTCTTATCTCTCTTATTTATATGTTATAGTTTAATGATTTGTGATTTAATGTTTATATTCAGCTTTTTAAAGTTTCTGTATAATTTGTATTCTCACTTTTGTACATTTGCATTTCGCATCCCAGAGAATTACGTACCGAACTCGTCTATATTTTTCTCAAAATGAAAGTGAAACTACTCGTCCATTTCGCGGCCCATGAAATGGCAACAAACTGACTTGTGATGGCGCTTTACAGCAATTAAAAAGATATGACGGGTTCGGAGCATCGAAATCCAAGTAAGGTTTGAGTTCGTTGGTTCGGAGCAGTGACAACTCGCTTGTCGCGGAAGTTGTCGCTCATCTTGGCAAAGACTAGACGGCTTCGTGAAACACTAAGTTGCGTGACAGTGACGAGATGTCGTTGATCTTGTAGTTATGACGGTTTTGAGAAACGGCCCCCGGATTGACAACAGCTTTTAGCTTGCTGCTTGCATCGAGATCGATCCTATTTCTGCAGTATTTACAGTGTTTTGACAGTCTTTAGCTCACTTAGCAGCATGGATGAGGGAGGGGTGCTAGTTGAGAGAACCAACAATCCAAGAAAAAGGAAGCGAAATGAAAAATAATGGGCCAAAAACCAGAACACGGAAGATCATAACACCGCTCCTGGTAAGTTCAGTCCCACTTACTCATTTTTGTGTTAGTGTGTAATAAAGTGCAGATGCATTTGCATTATATTGCATTGAATGAATTGTAATAATAATAGGTAATAGTCTAACTAAGACTATTGCAATTCTGTTTGCATGTAGTATGAGCTCAAGGCTTAACCAAAACGAATTACTAGATACAATTTTGTAATTAAACTGAGGCCGTGAGGGTAAATTACGTGTTTACTGCCGCGCCACGGATTCGCCTTCGCCGGCTTCAGTCACTGGTCACAGGCTGTGGTCACTATCTGCCCTGGACCTGGTGCAGTAGTTTATGGATATTTCACAAGCCTTTGTTACATCATACCATAGCATAAGTGTAATGATAATTTGCCATCTATTAAGAAAATATCTGCTGTAAGTCTGTAACAAACATTTTGTATTTGAGTGCAGTCATAATCGGTGTTTTGTTAAATTTGAGGAATTTTTTTCGTGGAATACCTGATGTTTACCATGATGACTTTCGTTTTATCAATAGGGAAGCAACCAGCCATTGGATGCCAGCACATACCTCACAGCCTTTGTAAGGCGTCTTTGCTGACAGAAGGAGACATCACAGATACTTTCCAGGACTGCTACAGAGACTTGAACAACCGCGGCAAGATTCATTCATCATGTGCCACTTACAACTCAATCCAGTCATGCGCCATCGAGTAAATGGTCCACAACCAAGGAGAGAGCGGAACTATGCCCCAACATTTCCAAGTAAGTTTTAATCGAGTCATTAAAAAAATATATAATTTGCTTGCAAATCAAATTGTTGAATACAGATCATACACAATTGCCAGAATTGATACCAATTATCTCATTGCAATAATTTTCTGTTAATTTTAAATGAGTTGTTTAGTCGCTGGGGTTTTTCTTGCTACTGGGGGGGGGGGGGGAGGGGCATACATGTTTTGTCATGTGTAATATGCTATCTATGTTACACATGTCAAACTAGGTCGTAATGTTGTTTTTATTTTATACCGGTAGCGTCGGTTGAACCATAAACAACTGGGTCAAAGTGAATTCACGAATTCCCCTCGCGCAATCAACATACACTGCATGTCACACTGTGCAAAAAAATGTGAACTCGCGCAATGCAATTCTGTATGTAGATATAACATGCACGAGCAGTATAGGCAAGGACAGTTGGTGGGAGGGGGGGGGGTATGCTTCGTATTACAAACTTGTTTATTTAGATTGAATGAAACCAACAAAAATAAACTTTTCATGTACGGTTTTTGTGATTTATAATACAGGTAGCTGGAAATGTCCATTAACAATGTTTCACTTTTAATTTACAGATTACGACACAGCAAGGGGAAAATGTGGAGGTGTGCTCCGGAAGATTCAGATCCATCCTTGTACTTGGTAGGAAACGTCTGGGCAACCTTATGAAGTACGCCTGCCATTCAAAATCACAGAGGCCAAACGCATCTACGTGAGACCAGCTCCAGCCCCAGTCACTGTCGCCAAGTATTATAGCGCACCTGGAGATGAGTACACCATGTTAAAGAGAGGAAAGAGATGGAGTACTCTTCGGGTCAATCAGCTCCCATTGCTGAAGCAGCGGGATGTAGCAAATCTTCTACGAGCGATGGGGGTGGAGCTACAAGTGGACCCGCTAGTAGGGTATGGGCCACGCAACTTCATTCAGGAAGTAGGTGCCTTTTACAAAGAGGTGTGCGCGCCTACTGATGCAATGGACGTAGAGAGTGATGAGGACGAAGGCATCATTGCTGCCTATGAAGATTGACATTTGATTTTATGCCTTTTACACAATTAATGGATCAGTTTAAACTATTTCATTCAAGAACAAAGAAGGCTTCTAAAATGTGCATTCATTGAGCAGTGCAGTTGGAATCAAATCCCGTTTTATTACCCATGTATGCATTTTGTTGTAAGTAGCGCTGGTAATTATTAATGCAAATTTACTAAACCAGAATGCATGCACACAGATAATTAATATTTGGCGCTTTGCTACCTTCACTGTATAATAACAACTAATTGATTGTGGCTAATCTCACAACTTTACAGTAGATTGTAGTGATATTGTATGGGTAGAGTTTTATTGCTCCTACTTCCATTAGGATGTTAACAAACAATTATTCAAATAATATGTATGCATAATCAGCACTCAAGTATGTATTTTATCTGCTGTTTATGAGGAGTCGGTTACATTAGTGAACTATGAATAATTTCCATTGTATGGTATCTTCTTGTTGACACTCATATGATATTGTTAAAGAAACTGTACATTAATGACTTTATGTTAATTATTTAAGTACTTGCCAATTTTTGTATGTCTTAATTAACTCACCGTTATGACATGAGATAATGAGTAAAGCAAATTTACAAGATTTTCAAATTTCACACAATACAAGTCTTTACTGCCTGTTTATTTTGTCAATTTAAAAATGTGCTGAGTCACCCGAGTGGTTGTGTTTTTTTACAAGTTGAATAGAGGGAACATTTCAATGATTGAAGTTGCTCATGTACTAACTATTTGCGAAATGTGTAACATTTTGATTGAAATTAGTGTGGAGCGAAAACGTCTAGAATGATGAGATGTGAGAAGTATGTTCAACATAATGTAGGCTTTCAATGTGTTAAATGGATAGATATGTGTGTGTTAGACCCTGAATTATAATTAAAGAAGTATGTTATTACATCCGAACATCATTCTTAAAACCAAAAAAAAAAAAAAATGAAATGACACATCAAAATTTTAATTCCAAAAGGCGCTAAATCCTTGTTTAATTCCAAAAGGCGCTAAATCCGAACAAATTGAAAAAATAAAAAAATATTAAAAAATAATTACTATGGCAGGATTTCTTTAAGCAATATTTTAATGATCTTTGGGGGTAGATCTTTGAACTGTGTGAAAATTTGGCGGTTTCGTTGAAACAAAAGGGGTCTAACAGAAAACCTTGATTTACTCGTAAACGCCAAAAGTGGATTTAGCGCCTTTTGGAATTAAACTCTTCATATACATTATCACACATAGACACACAAACGCACGCACCCTCACAGATACACTCACACACACATGCCTGAGACTCCAATTTTAAAATATAAACAGGGGGTCACATATGCATTATTTATCATACATGCATATATTCATAACATTTCATTTGTGGGAGCCTAATAATATTGACTTGGACAATAATTTAAATGTATTAAGTGATCTGCTTGATGTTATGTCTTGCGGGCGTTCATTCCATTCCTTCGATCCCTTACTGATAAGGGATTGGAGACCAACTGTAGTTTTGAAAAAAAGGAATATATTACTTTGACAGGTGTTGTATTGATGAAAATCGGAATTAAAATTTAAGTGCTTATCTTTAGACTGAGGAATTATGTTATTTAATGAGTATAATTGTTTCATCTTTATGCAGCGTAATAAACAAAGAATTATAAACGTTTGAACCCAGGTCCATGACACAATGTAGTATACAATACACAACTGCGTCACTGGCAGGGTATACAAGACAAGTACAACATGTACAACATAGGAAACATATAAAGCATATATTGAAATGGTTTACAAAATAATGGAAAGAGAAGTACGAAGTTGAGATTCCTCAACGGTAATAGGCAATCCGATTCTATCTTTGGCGATCTTAAATACCAGTATAAATGGTAGAAATGTAGCCATGAATAAGTGCATTATGCTTGATTTTGCGACAATGTAATAGTTTCTCTGGCATGTATTTTATTACCATGATTTTGATACTAATACTAGTTTGTTTTACGAATGTGGGTCATGATTATTACACCGTCATTTTGTGGCTTAATTGTTTTTACTATATACTCGGATAAATATTATTTACACCGAACGTAAAATGATATACATGGAGTATTTAAATACTAAATGGTTTCTTAAATATAAACATTTTTAGATTTGTTCATAGTAAAAATGCATTGTATATATAACGTTCATAACAGGTATTGCATCGTTGTAAACATCGTTCGAGCATTGTCGTATCATAGTTCATATTATGAAGAAAAATAAATAAATGAAAGTACATCTTCTTCGTACATGCACTGTTATTCCTCCATGTAAGATTATTTGTAAACAAAATGCAATGACCCTCTTAAATAAGATGTGTTCTTCAACATGTTCAGGGGAGGGGGTGACTATTTAAGCACCTCGGAGTCGTGGACTTCTATTATTTACACCGAACGTAGAATGATATACATGGAGTATTTAAATACTAAATGGTTTCTTAAATATACACATTTTTAGATTTGTTCATAGTAGAATTGTATGATACATAAGTTCATAACAGGTATTGCATCGTTGTAAACATCATTCGAGCATTGACGTATTATAGTTCTACATATTTTGAAGAAAAATAAATAAATGAAAGTACATCTTCTTCGTACATGCACTGTTATTCCTCCTTGTAAGATTAATTGTATACAAAATGCAAGGACCCTCTTAAATAGGATGGGTTCTTCAACATGTTCAGGGGAGGGGGTGACTATTTAAGCACCTGAGAGTCAGGGACGGACATGTACCCCGTATCAGTCCACTGTGGTTCATTTCTGAGCTTGTAGTTTCCATAATAATTATGTAACTAAGGCTAGTCGGCTCAGCGTCTGACAGACATGCTTAATTTGTTTTGATACCATTATCAGTTTTAACATTCCTTTTAATGCTGCTCTATTTTCTTCGGAAATGTATCCCCTTGGTCCAATTTCTACGCACCATAGTGTACATTTATAACCTGAGCGTCTCAGGTTATTAACCAGGGGTGTGTACTTGGTAATCTTGTACCTATGACTATTCGTCATGTTATTCTCAAATGGAACTGTCAATTCAAAGATGAATATTTCTTTTTCATGTGGGCGAAAAAGGACCATGTCAGGGCGATCTGATGTTGGTAGTATGTGTACGGGAATAGTACTTCTGTTACTTGTCATGCTACCTGGTAAATCGACGTTTACACGTACGCTCACGTTTGATACCAGTTCAGATGATTGCACTACTTGCAATATGTAGCTCAAAATACTATAATGCCGCCATGTATACCGGCCTTGGGTTAACATCGTTTGACAATGGTTTAATACATTGTGTAGGGTTTGCGTATTGTTGCAAAGATCACAATTGCCTGTTAGGCGCTTTCCCCATCTTTGTAGGTTTCGAAATGTAGAGAGTGCATCGATGGAAGCCCTAACGGCAAAACTTAACACTCTTCTGGGAAGATTATATATTATGCTTTTCCATGATATATCGGCATTTTGTTCGTTTAACAGGTTCAAGTATTGCCCTTGAACCACCAGTGTTTGGGTTTTACTGACCCTATTCTTATCCCTTTCTTCTCTGACGTCTGATTTCACTGCCTTTTTCAACATTTTCCAATTGCTATCTGACATTGAACTAACGACCTTTTCTGCAACGACTGCCGCTTCTACATTTTCATAGGATTTGTTACTATAACTTAACTCACGATCCAGTTTTTGTTCAACAGCAGCCTGGACCCTTGTGTCAGCTCTTGTAATACATATTAGTGTATTAAGAGTAACCAATTGATAAAAAGGTAATATTTTCAAACATTTGAACGATGGTGCAGATGATGAGCGAAAGTCTGAATTTGTTATTATTCGTACAGCTTTCTTTTGAAATAGTTCAATCTTAGACAAATGTGTCTTATTTGTATTACCCCAGATATAACTGCAGTAATTAGGTTAAGATAATATAAGAGTATTACATAATATGAGCAAAAAATGTTTAGGTAATATATACTTAAGCCTAGATAATATTCCAACATTCTTTGATATTGTATTGCACAGTTGTGTTGCATATTTGTGTATTCCAGTTTAAATATTCATTAAAAATTACACCAAGAAATTTAACATCACTTAGTCTTCTATTTGTAATAACCCAATAAACAAAATCACGTGAAAATCATGTCAATATCAAGGTATCGACTTGAGGAGAGTTACGTTCTTCAAACACCTGACATTTACGTAAATGTGTTTATACGTTTATTGCTCTAGGTCACTTAAAACACACGTACACCGAATCACGCAATTCTCACTGCAATGTCACCATTATAATAACGTGATTATCCCTACCTTAGAGACCATGGCTTGTAAACCTAATACTCCCGTGTTTGTTTGGTTATGAAATAACATCTTCATAAACGAAATTATCGCGTCACAGAAACACGTGAAGCGTTAGTGATAGTTTTAGTCAAAATATCTGCGTGAAATTCACGTGAATATTACGAGGCTGACTTGAGATGAATCATGTTCTTCATTCACGTGAAATTTACGTCGAAGAGGAAATATGTTACTGTAACCCGCGTTTAACCCAATAATAACGCGAATGTTACACAATAAATGAACCAAAATAATGACGTTCTCATCCCGTTTTTGAACATCGTGTTTTGGATCTTTCATAATTACGTCCAGGCGCGCCGGAAGCAGTTTGGGATTAGAGGGTGGGGGGGTGTGGGTGCAAACAAATCCAAGAAGAGAAAGCTAGTTGCAAACTGGTCCAGTTGATGAACCAGTTCATGCCAACTGGTAACCCTGTAAATCGAAATGGGCTAAATGATCCAGTTGATCCAGGCCAGTTAGAATTCAACTGGTCTAGCCGAGCCATTAGAACCATTTCGTAAAACTTCCAACCAGTTGAACGGCAACAACACTTCAATACTGGTACGTCTGTATTTCCAATGTAAAGGCATTGGTAATAAGTAGACTTACATAATTTATTCAGGGACGTGATAGAGAAGGACTGGAATCAAGCCGCTCTCCTTTGACCCCATGCTCCAAGCCGCCGAAAAGTTATGCGCTAATCTGCAACTGCTGACCAGGTGGTGAGATATAAGAGCGCATGAATTTCAGGATTTATAATTCCTACATCAGAAAATGGTATCACAGCATCTGTTCGCTGTCCCTTTCAATGATTTCTCATCTATTGTTGAATGTGTAAAGAGTATAACAAGCGAACACAAACTTGTGTAATTTCATCCTTTTTTAACTTCAAAAATACAAAAAACACGCATTAGCAAACTTAATGTTATTGAAGATTGTAAATCATGGATCAAATAACGGGACATTAAAACATGCACAATTTAGCGCATTATCCTAAACTATTGAGATTTTGTCAGGATGTAATTTTTCTTTTACCAACTCTGGCACACAAATTATAGGAATGACGGAGTTCTAAATTTGGAAATGTGTTTGATGCACTATTCCAAATACAATCCCCATACAAAGTTTTTGATTTACACTGAAATTTTGCCGGTAATTTAATATTTTGTAATAAATGTAAAACTGGTACCTGGCTTCCGAAAGTCCCCGCAGTTGAAGCGCGGTATGGAGCATGGAACTTCAAAGCCAAGTGGAATGTTACACATCC